TGAGTCGGAAACGACTCGACGGCACATAACAACAACAACTTCTGCAGAGAGCTGTGCTGTTGTCCCAAAGGCTCTGGTAGTTCGAATCCACCAACTACTTGAGGGAGAAAGATGGGCAGTCTCTTCCCGTGCAGTTTGGCTGCCTCTGAAAACCTGCTGGAGGATCAGCTGTGAGTTGGCTCTGACTTGACAGCAGTGAGTTTTTTAGTTGTTTGATAGTCTTTTATATTCTCTTCTAAAATTTATATGGTACAGAGAATTAGTTCAAATGTACTGTCTTCTCAATTTCCTTTCATATCTTACTAACATTACTGTTTTCAGTGTAGTTACTAACTTGCTTGTTTTTTGTTCCCTTTTTTAAAACTCAGTCATCTTTCTCTTTTGAAAGTGAAAGGAAGGACAGTTTTATTAGAAAAGATAAGTTGTAAGTCTCAGATACGGAGATGAGTCCTTCAAAGGTAAAGATAAAGAAGAAGCTGCACTGCAAGCCCAGAGGTACACTGTTCGATTCCACCAGATGCTCTGCTGGAGATGGAGGGGCAGTCTCCTCCTGTACCAGTCGGATCCGATTTGACAGTACACACACAAAAAAAAGAATAAATTTTTTTTTTAAAAAAAGGTAAAAAAAATAGACGTCAGCAATCTTTTTAAATAAACTTTTTATTCTGAGATAATTCTAGACTAACATGCAAGTATGAAAAGACCCCATGTTTCTCAGAATGGTAACTATTTTAAATGTTTATGCTTCTTAAATTTATTGAATACTTAAAAATATACAGTACTTAATAAATTTCCTTTATAATTACACTGAATTACTCAAAATATAAAATTGTATCTTGTGATTCCCCCCTTCATGTAAAAGCTAAAATAAAAGCAAGATAATGACTTTACTACAGATTGTAGTTATAAAGTTAATGCAATAATTAATGAAGCTACCTTACTACCTTAACTGATTTTTAGATGTTCCTTTATATTATTTCCGTTATATATATATATACACACACACACACACAAACTCGCAGAGAACTAAATTAGATCTTTTGTTAGTAGCCTAAAATGGTTATCTTTGACAATATAATAGAAAAATCTTATTTTCATTCTAATTAAATAACGCACAAGTATCCACATAAATCAGAAAGTGGAAAGCACACAGAATATTTAATATGCCACTTACACAGGCTGAGAGCTGCATGATATCAAAAGAGTTGGAGTTGAACGGAGGTGGACCTGTGTCCTCTGGAAGGAGAGTGATTAAAAGCTTTAGTGTCTGTGTTACAGTGTTGATGTGAGTCCACATAAAAGGCTTTTCCTTTTTCCAGAGGACATATACTCTGCAATGCCTTTGGAATAGACATAAAACAATCTACTGCAGGCCAGATTTTACAACTAAGTCAAGCAAAGTCTTTGCTGTGTGACTCATGGCAACCCTCTGTGGCTATTCCAAGGATGTGACTCTTTAAGGGAGTGGACTTCCCACCTTTGTCCTAACAGGGACTGCTGGGCTTGAACTGCTGAGCTTTCAGTTGGTAGACTGACACTGGATGTAATGCGCTGCACCACCAGGACTCCTTTTTACAACAAAGGGACACCTAATATTATTAACAGGATCTTTAGTTTTTCAAAACCGTTTTTAGAGCAGTGTGGTTTCCTTGTAGTGGAATCTGCACTCTGTTTTACAGGACTGGCTTCTCCTTGGGCCTCCAAAGCCAGAATGCCTTCAACAAAGGGAGGCACCTCTTACCCTTACAGTGGTTATTGACACCTTTATGCTTTATGGGTGTATTTGGGTCAGTTATGAAGAATTATTTTCCCTACCCTTAAGCTGAAATTTAAACATTAACCTCAATTAGAAGTATTGTCAGCAAAGCACCAGAATGTTAGTAGAAAGCACAGATATTTCCAGATGACATCAGGCCTTCTGGTGGCGGAGCCTACAGGGAGGCACTTGTTCACCCAGAAATGTCGCTTTTGGTGCTACCTGCTGCTCTGAGGGAGAAAATTAGGTGGTCTCCTCCCATGTGATTTACAGTCTCTGAAAACTTGCTAAAGAATCAGCCAATAGTATATCGTAGTAGTTGCATGGATTTTGAGACACCATTTATGTTCATTACCACTTTTGAATTAGTGTTTATATTTCAGTTATTTAATGTATTCATAAATATTTTTTTAAAGCAACTAAACTATTTAATAACCGTATTTCCCTCCCCTATTTATAAGATGTTTACTGAGCACAGAGTCCACAAGTGTGTGAATAAGACAGGCTGGGGAGGGCAGATTGGTGGGCAAGTAGGAAAGTACCTGAAGACCTTTCCCCTTGCCCACAGGAGCAGTTTTCAGCTATGCTGTCAGGCTTTGCTCTCCTACAGCCTTTGTGGACTCAAGCCCAGGCCTTCCCCCCAGTCCAGCCCGAGTCCCCATCCTCTCATGAAAGCAAGGGTCTAGGGTCCTCCCTGTGTTAGCCTCCTAGATACTGGGGACTGTGTTAGGAAGGACTCCAGGAAGAAGGCAAGGGTCTTGAATACTTCCTGGCACCTTTGGAACCAGTGCCTCCTTCTCAGTGACTCCCTGGGTCCTCTGTCCTTGGTCTTTCTAGCCAGGCAAGCTTCTTGCTAGCTGAATTTGTGGGTGGTGGAGCTGTAGACAGAGGTGTAGCCCTGGCTGGTGAGTGGACAGAAGCAGCGGCTTTCAGCATGCTCCTACCTAGTACCTCGCTGTGGGCACACGTAATCTCACGTGGTGGGGCACAGCACTCAGCTGGCCTTGTCCTTGAGCACATGGCACAGTAGATGGCCCAGGGCTCGTTGTTGTGTTTGCAGAAGGAACATAGGCGTTTGGGAGTCAGCAAGAATTCCAGGTTGGGTCTCTGATCCCCTAGACCTGGCATTGACTCCGGCAGGGGTTCTAGTCTGGTCTCAGACTTCTCTTCATGCAGAGCCCCCACCAGGCTTGTACAACCCACATAATCTGTCCATAGGCTGAAGGTCCCCATGGGCTGGGGGTCAGGCAGAAGGCTAAAGAGAGAGAGAAGCCCAGTAATTTAATAATTTAAAAATGCTTTTAGAAGTTTCCTCACATTGACCTAGTGCTTAAGTGTCATTGAGAATGTTAACTGTTTATTAGTTTTCATTTCCTTAAATCTTTCTAACCTTGAGAAGAATTGGAATGAGAAGAATGGGAATCCCAGAACACCTCATTGTTCATGCGAAACCTATATTTGGACCAGGAGGTCAGAACAGAGCAAGGAAACGCCACATGTTCAAAATTACAAAAGGAGTGCATCAGAGATGTGTCCTATCTCCATACTTTTCAGATTATTCGAGAGGCTGGACTTTATGAGGAGGAATGTTTACAATCAGTATTGGAGAAAGACTCATCAATGACCTGCATTATGAAGATGACACAACCTTGCAGAAACTGAGGAGGGCCTGGAGCATTTGCTGCAGAAGGTCAAGGACTATAGTGAAGCTCAACATCGAGAAGACAAAGATTCTCAACACTGGGCAAGTTGACAGTATCATGATAGATGGAGAAGAGGTTGAGATTGTTAACAATTTCAGCTTGCTTGGTTCCGCAATCAGCAGTCTTGGCACCAGCAGTCAGGAAATCAGAAGACAAATTGCATTGGGAAAATCTGTCAGAGACCTCTTCAGAGCAAGGATGTCAGCTTAAGGTGCATCATAGTCTTCGTACTTACTTGCAGTGCATCAGTGAGCTGGACAGTGACCAAGGATGACAGAAGAATTGATGCCTTTGAATTGTGCTGGAGAAGAGTATTGAACATACCATGGACTGCCAAGAGAACAAAAAAGTCTGCCCTGGAGAGGGTGAAGCCAAGTTACTGGAGGCAAGGATTTTGAGATTCTTTCTCACATATGTTGGACATGTAGCCAGGAAAGACCATTCTTTGGAGAAGGACATCATACTGGGAAGGGTGGAGGGACAATGCAAGAGGGGAAATACCTGATGAGATGTATTGACACAATAACTGGGGTAATGAGGATAGGTGTGTCAGAGACAGTGGGATTGGCTTAGGATAGGGCAAGGTTCAGTGCTATCATGCATATAGGGTGGCTGTGAGTCTGGAATAGACTCAGTGGCACACACAGCAACAATTTCCCTTTCATTCTCTCCTCTTTCCAGCCCACAGGCTTTCCCCTTAGGCAGATGCTACTCTTTTGACCTTATGTGACTGATTATTCTAAGCAGTTTTCTGCTGGGGAGCTCTGGTGGCCCTAGTAGTAGATAGTTGCACTGTCAAGTCAGAGACAGGTGATTTCGAGGCCACCAGCTGCACCACAAGAGGAAGATGGGTAGTGTCCTGCTGTGGGATTTACAGCCTCTGTAAACTCACTGGAGAGTCAGCTATGAATCCTTTGCAACTCAACAGTAATGAGGAGGACTCGGGCTCTGTGGACTGGGTGCCTTCCTAATATTCTTATAGAATTTTAAAAATTATTAATTTATTATATATTCTTTTTAATACCTATATATTTATTATTATTATTATATAATTGGTTATTTTATAGGCCTGTATATTATTTGACTGTAAGTTGAGCCCTGGGGCAGAGTTTTGTTCACTTTCAAGATGTAACCAAGCCCGTAGTTTCAGGGTTTCCTCAGTCTTTATTGGATGTGAAAGCTTGGCCATTATTTATGGTTTTCAGTTTTATTCCCTGTTTCCTTTCTCTTTTAAAAAAAATTTTTTTAAAATTTATGTGTGTGTGTGTGTACACACCATTGAATCAGTTCTGACTGGTACAGGAGGAAATTGCCCCTCCTTCTCTAGCAGAGTATCTGGTGGATTTGAAACGCATGCCTTCAGGATTACAGTCTTGCCACTAGGCTTCCAGAGCTCCCTCCCTCCCTCTTGAGGATTTTCTCCTGTGATCCCTTTAGGATGGTCAGCAGCGGCAGCCGTCCGCCATCTAGTTCTTGTGGTCTCAGGGTTGTGGAAGTTGGTGTCTTCAGAATCCATTTGTCCTTTGGACTAATTGTTTAAGGGTGTTTTTTTTTTAATTTATTGTTTTGTTTAACAGTGTCTTTATATTTCTTCCCTCTTTGTTCCAGACAGGGAAAGACCAACAGTTGAACATTAAACGATAACTTATAAGCTTTTATGGCCTTACTCTCTACACACCAAAGTAGAATGTAGAGCATTGCTTTTGTATACTGTTATGCTCATTGACCTTGATATCCTCCAAAACTGGTCCCAGGGTCTCAGAGCCAGCACTTCATTCCCTCAGAGTGTTTGATTAGGATTAAGATGTTTACAGAGCATTGCCCTGTGTTGGCCTTCTATATACATGGATTTATTACCAGCATATGCTAACATGTATGCAGAAATAGCATGTGCCACACCTGTGAGTAGTCATAGGCCTCTCCTTTTCACCTGTAGGATAGAGTGTTCCAGTAGGGGGCATAAGCTAATATTACTTAATACCAAAATAGCGTGTCCTAACTTCAGCCTTACACATTTACCAAAAGAAAAGAAACCAAAAAAGGCCATTTAGAGAGTTGTTGAACATGGTGCATGTGCTTCAGGTTGAGGGGAAGACATGAGCGGTCACTTGTCTGTGCCCTCGTGGTCCATTTTCCTTGAACACCTTACAGGATGACTGTGGTAGCAAGTTCTTTGGGAGAACATGTTCCCACCTATGTGTCAGCTCTGTGCTCAGTTAAATAGTGATTTACAGTGTGACAGGACAAACTTTTGAATCTGCCTAAGGCATCCTTAAGAGAGAATTTTCTTCGCCCAGCCCCTTGGAGCGCCCATTCCCTCCTCTCTATAAAAAGAGATGGCCACCTTCTCCTGTGCTCTCTGCTCCTCGTCGATCCAGATTGCCCTCTCTTCTTGTGCAGCCTCAGCCGCATCCCTGAGACATGATGGTGAAGGTTTGAGTAAACGGATTTGGCCGCATTGGGCGCCTGGTCACCACGGCTGTTTTTAACTCTGGCAAAGTGAATGTTGTCGCAATCAGTGATCCCTTCATTGACCTCAACTACATGGTCTATATGTTCCAGTATGATTCCACCTATGGCAAGTTCAACGGCACTGTCAAGGCTGAGAATGGGAAGCTGGTCATCAATGAGAAAGTCATCACTATCTTCCAGGAGCGAGATCCCGCCAACATCAAGTGGGGTGATGCTGGTGCTGAGTATGTTGAGGAGTCCACTGGTATCTTCACAACCTTGGAGAAGGCTGGGGCTCACTTGAAGGGTGGTGCCAAACGGGTAATCATCTCTGCTCCTTCTGCCGATGCCCCCATGTTTGTGATGGGCGTAAACCATGAAAAGTATGACAACTCTCTCAAGATTGTCAGCAATGCCTCTTGCACCACCAACTGCTTGGCTCCTCTGGCCAAGGTCATCCATGACAACTTCGGCATTGTAGAGGGACTCATGACCACAGTCCATGCCATCACCGCCACCCAGAAGACTGTGGATGGCCCCTCTGGAAAGCTGTGGCGTGATGGCCGTGGAGCTGCCCAGAACATCATCCCTGCATCTGCTGGTGCTGCCAAGGCTGTGAGCAAGGTCATCCCTGAACTGAATGGGAAACTTACCGGCATGGCTTTCCGTGTCCCCACCCCCAGTGTATCAATTGTGGACCTGACCTGCCATCTGGAGAAAGCTGCCAAATATGATGACATCAAGAAAGTAGTAAAGCAGGCATCAGAAGGCCCCCTCAAGGACATCCTTGATACACTGAAGACCAGGTGGTCCCCTGTGACTTTAATAGTGACACCCACTCTTCCACCTTTAATGCTGGGGCTGGCATTCTCATTTCCTGGTATGACGAATTTGGCTATAGCAACCGGGTGGTCGACCTCATGGGTCACATGGCCTCCAAAGAGCCCCTTGAACCACCAGCCCCAGCGATAGCACTAGAAGAGAGAGAGAGACCCACAGCTTCTGGGGAGTCCATGCCCCAACTTGATCCTCCCACACACTGAGAATCTCACATCCTTGACACAAGTTTCCATCTAATCCCCCTGTAAAAGGGGAGGGGCTTGGAGAGCCCATCTTGTCATGTACCCTCAATAAAGTACACTGTACTCAGCAAAAAAAAAAGAGAGAATTTTCTTCTTTTTGAGATATAACTCAAATAACTATAACATTTGCTTTAAAGGAGAATTTTTAAAAAAAAATATAATAATACCATTGTGTACTTTTGAGTTGGAACCAACTCCTAAGTGACTCTGAAGCGGGGTTTTCAGAGGTAGTGATTCACATGAGGAAGTGGCTTATCTTTCACAGAGCAGCTGGTGGATTTGAACTATGTTCCTCTGGATTGACAGTGGAACTCTTTACAACTAAGCCACCATTGCTTCCTTTTTAAATAGTTCATTTTTATATTACAGTTTAGGAAAGATTATTCTTTACAATAATGTGTTTGAGAAGTAAAGATACTACAGATTATAAAGCTTTTTTGTCATTTATACTCATTTTGGAACAGCTCTGCACTTGAGAAAATTTTAAATATTAGTACTTCATAAGACCAGTTTAGTTAATAATTATAGATCATGAAGAGTTATTGTTAACCTTTTTTTGGTGAATGTAATGAAAACATCATCTCTCCCTAAAAAATGCCTGCATGACCTGGAACATATCTTTTTCTTACAACATGGGGAGGGTTGTGTGGTTGACAGGTAACCTCTGAGCCCATACACAGAGTTAATGTCCCTACTTTTAGAGAAATAGGAGTTCTGGTGGCCTAGGGAATAAGGAGTTATTCTGCCAATCCCAAGGCAAGTGGTTCAAATCTACCAACTTCTCAGTGAGAGAAAGATGGATAGTCTCCTTCTTCCAAGTGATTTACAGCTTCTGAAAACCCACTGGAGAGTCATCTATGGATCAGTTCTGACTTGATGGCACACAATGACACTACTTTAATAAATAGTTTGTAAAACTTTAGAGAAATAGTATGTATAAACCTGTACGTTAGTGCTTAATGTCAGAGGTTTCTGCATCTAATCTTGTCCTTGATTTTGGCATTAATAGTATCACTTACTCATATTTATATACTAAAATCTCTTCAGATTGTAGGGGAGAAGTCAGCTCAGTGGAGGATGTGTTGTGGCATTAATGGTGGCACTTACTCATGTTTGCATAAATGCACTTTGTTTAGATTGCAGGTGAAAAGAAGTCAGCTCAGTGGCGTACAGTGGAGGGTGCGTTGAAGGAACGCAGAAAGGCAGTAGATGAAGCCGCCGATGCCCTTCTCAAAGCCAAGTAATTACTCATGGACTTTAACAAGTAATTAGGGTCTCCTGGTGGTTTTCTTCGGGTTGGGTTCTTTGTTCATGACTTGTGTGGAAAGGCCTGCCTTGCCTCTACTTGTCTTTATCGGCATAAGTAACATTGACATTTAAAAGAGCAAAACCAAAATAATTAGACTACAATAAATTTGGCAGACCATAAGAGGTCATATATATAAAGCCATTCTTCGTGGGATTACCCTTGTTACTGGGCACCCTTGAGCCGATTAGAACTCATGAGACCCTATGAGCAGCAGGTTGAACCCTGTCTTGTGCTGGCTTCACCGTCTCCATTACACTAAAGCCTATTGTTGGAGTCCATGTGTCAGTCCATCTCGTTGAGAGTCTGCATCTTTTCCACTGATGGGTCACTCTGCCCTTCGCAGCAGGACATGTCTTACCAAGGTCTGGCTCCTCCTGACAACATGCTCAAAGAATGTGAGACCAAGTCCTACCATCGATGCCTCCAGGGAGTGCTCTAGTTGCACTTCCTTCTGGACAGACTTGCTTTTTTCTTTTAGCAACCCAGGGACAGTTGTGATTCTTATTTTTTGTCCAACATTCAGATGCATAAGATGCAATTGAAAATACTCTGGGTTGCATCAAGCACTTCTTAGTCTTCAAACTGACATTCTTGTTCTTTAGCATTTTAAGAGGTCCTTGACAGTAGATTTCCCCAGTGCAGCACATCTTTTGATTTCTTGGCTCTTGCTGTCATGGATGAGTGTTGATTGTTGATAATTATTCTTTTCTCTATTATGATGTTGACTTGTTGATCCAGTGTTGAAGATTTTTATTTTTATATTGAGATGTAACCCATACTAGGGCTGTAGCCTTTGATCTTCTTCAGTAAGTTCTTCAAGTCCTTTGATCTTCTTCAGTAAGTTCTTCAAGTCCTCTTCACCTTCTGCAAGCAAGATTGTTTTATCTGCATAAAGCAGGTTGTTGATGACTTCATCCAGTCCTCATGCCACATTCTTCATACAGTCTAGTTTCTCAGTTTATTTGCTTAGCTTACAGATTGAATAGATACAGAGAAATGGTAGACCCCTTAACCTGATTTTGAATCATGCTCTATTCAGACAGTAGCTTCTTGGTCTAGGTGTAGGTTTTACATGAGCACAAATAAATGTTCTTAGATTCCCATTCTTTTCAATGTCACCTATAATTTGTTAACCACAGAGTCAAATGCCTTTGCATAGTCAGTAAACCAGTAAATCTCTTTATGAAATCCTTTGCTGTCAGCCAAGATCCATCTGACATCAGCAATGATATCCCTGGTGCCTCAGCCTCTTCTGAATCCAGCTTGAATTTCTGGAAGTTCCTGTTAATGTTTCAGCTATTTTTTTTAATAATCTTCAGCAAGATTTTACTTGCATGTGATACAAATGATACTGTTAAATAATTTCCACACTCTGTTAGATCACCTTCTTTTAGAATAAGAACAGATAGCGATCTCTTGCAGTCATTTGGCCAGGTAGCCATTTTCCAGATTTGTTGACATAGACTAGTGAGCATGTCCAGGGCAGCATGTTTGTTAAAATGTGTTAATTGATATTCCAGCAATTTCTGGGGCTTTCTGTTTTGCCACTACCTTTGATGTAGCTTGGGCTTCTTCCTTTAGTACTGTTGGTTCTCTGTGATACTATTTAAAAATGGTTCCATGTCAGTCAGTTCTTTTTGGTTCAGTGACTGTGTCTTACCTCCATCTTCTTTTTTATGTTTCTTTTACTGTTCGTTATATTTCCCATTGCTATTGCAACTCAGAACTTAAATTTATACTCCAGGTGTTTTTAGCTTGAGAAATGTCACATGTCTTCCTTTTTTTTTAAAATATGGAATACTTCACGAATTTGCATGTCATCCTTGCTCAGGGGACATGCTAATCCCTGTGTCATTCCAGTTTTAGTATATGTGCTGCCAAAGCGAGCACCCATTTTTGTTTCCTAACTCCAGCTCCTTGCACATTTCATTATAAAACTTTGCTTTATCTTCCAGAGATGCCCATTGAAATCTTCAATTCAGCTCTTTTTCATCAGTATTTACCCCTTTTTACTATTTCCTTTAGTTCCATTCAGTGTTCAGTGTCTCATCTGACATGTTATGTTGGTCTTTACTTTGACTCTTCATGGATGCTGTCCTTCCACAACTTGCCTGGTCTTTGGTCATTAATGTTCAGTACATCAAATCCCTACACTAGATACTATCCTAGGGTGGTCTGTTTGTATTGCTTTGCTGAGACTCTGGGGGAAGGGTAGTTTTAGTTTCACCAATTTTATCAGGGTTTAGACTGTGCCATAGTAGATACGCCGTAACTACCAAAGTGGGATTCTGTGTCTACTTTTTTGATACCTCAGCTTTGATTCTTTGTCTAGAATGAAGATGAAGCAAACAGATCAAGTTCAACATCAATTGGCAATGATAGGTTTTAACTACATTTCTCCTCTGGAATTGTCATTCAAAATTTTTGGGTCTTATTATTGTTTATTGTTAGAGAAAAAGAATTCTCTAACAGAGGCAGAACAACTCTTGAGAAATCTAAGACATGATGTTCTGATTTTGAGTCTTGGAGTTAGGTCTCTAGATTTTGTGCTTCATGGTGGAAAGACAACAGTCTGTTCAGTTCATGAAGTGTTAGGAGTCATAAGGGATGTCTGAAACCCTGTTACTGACTATATGAGCTCAGCCCTTCCCCTAAATTGTCGTCTTTAAGCTCTTAATTAGGAGGCTTGCAAGAACCAGCATATTGCTTGTAGGAACTGCCTTTTTTTTTTTTCACTCTCACAGTGCAGTCAGCACTGCACCAGGTCCTTTCCATGAACCAGATCTCTACTTCAGGGTACACAGCAAATGGTGCTGACCTAGGAAGTAACTTAAAGTCTTTCTGCTCTGGAACCTGTGTCTTTCCCTGTATACTTCATGCTGCCGTGCTTCCTGTCTGTCCAAGGTTGGTTGTAGTTGTTGGTGAGAAGAACTCACCTACTTTTATTAGATGTTACTGAGTCACCCCCAATTCATAGCTTCTCTGTTCAGCACAACCGTACCTGATCTGGGCCATCCTCACAATCTCCTGGGAGCATGTACTGTGTCAGTCCATCTCATCGAGGGTTACATCTTTGTCTCTCACCCTCTCTTTTCTGAGCATGCTGTCCCTTTCTAGGGACTGGCTCCTCCAGACACCGGACCCAGGGCAGGTGAGACAGTCTCTCCATCACCACTTCACAGGAGCACTCTGAGTGCACTTGTTCCAAGACAGATTTGCTTGTTCTTCTAGCACGTCCTGGTTTAGTCCCTATTCTTCACCACCCCCACAATTCAAAGACATCAGTTGCTCTTTGGTCTTTTTTTTCCCCAAATTGAATTCTTTTTGTAGGCTTTTAAAAAACATTCTGCATTGTGTATCCTAAACCTAAACTTCAAAACTTGGTTAATGTAGGCAAGAAATTGCACTAAATCTTTGTTTTATTAATTTTTCAGAGAAGAGTTAGAGAAGATGAAAAGTGTAATTGAAAATGCAAAAAAGAAGGAGGTCGCTGGGGCCAAACCTCACATAACTGCTGCAGAGGGCAAACTCCACAACATGATTGTTGATCTGGATAATGTGGTACAGAAGGTGTGTGTCTCTACATCTCCTAATGTTTTATATTTTGGAAAGAAATCCGTTAGGCAAAGACTTCTAAGAATTTGGGAAAATACAGTCCTTACCATCTTTTTACATTTGTACTGTTTTGTGAAATTTTTTTTTATATTATTGGTAATTTCTGTAATAATAGAAATAAGTCAGATTCTGCCATGTTGTTACCACTTAGGATATTTTCCTTTTGTAACCAAGTGAAAGGAAGTTGTTCTTTCTTGTCCTATTTGGTCCCGGGGATGGCCCTGCAACCACAGAGACAGGGATCCCCTGATGGAGGAACCGATATTCCCAAGGAAGCCTCAGTTCCATCTCCCCACAAGCAATGGCAGAATTGTTCTTTCTTGTGTGGTATGTGAGCATTTCTCACAAGCTTTAGGTCTCTTAGAGAATGCAGCATCAGTGCATTCACAAACGAGGAAATAAATATTACTCTTCTTTCTTAGAATGTACAGAGTATATATCGTTTACTTCTCTTAACTGCCTGTGCTTTGTGTTTGTTAGGTCCAGGCTGCTCAGTCTGAGGCTAAGGTGGTATCTCAGTATCATGAACTTGTGGTCCAGGCCCGGGATGATTTTAAACGAGAACTTGACAGTATTACACCGGAAGTACTGCCTGGGTGGAAAGGGATGAGTAAGTACAGCTGAAGTGTTGAACCTTCACTTTATCAGTCTTTCACATGATGAGATTAGTAACTGATGAGTAACTAAGCACCTGAAGTAAACTTTCCAATGAATTCATCCCATCCACACCCTTCTCAGTGCAGTTTTCAACCTGACATTCAAAAAATGTATGGTGTCCTTTGCAGTGCGGTCTCCGAATCTTTAGGGAGTAAGTAAAATCATTTACACTTTTATTAACTTTAAAATAGATACACAACACAGGATACCAAATTTGAAAAGTCTCACAAATAAGCTGGTGAAAAATCATCTTTATTACACCTCTGCTCACAAGCGATTTTCCTTAAACCAGCGGGTCAGTGATCTCCCTGGAAACGTGGTTTGTTCCCAGATTACCTCAGCCCTCAGTGGTCGTCCTCACTTCTGAGAGTGTTTGAGACCTGTGCCAGAGCTTTGTGCTGGATTGTGTTCTCAGCTCTTACTCTCTGAGTTGGAACTGTCCTGTTGCTTGTCATCTGAGGTCCTGTCTCTGTGTTCTTCTGTAGCAGAATACAGTGTCAAGTACATGATACCAACAGCTAATGCTACAGAGCGTTATTTTGTGCCTGGCACTGATCTGTGCATCTCATATATATTTATTGATCTAAAGATTATAATATCCCTGAGATTGGTTTGTTATTATCCCCATTTTATAGATGAGAAAACTGAGATACAGAGCAGTTAAATGTTTGCCTAAGGTTGTACAATTTTAAGATAGAGTCAGAATCCTATTCTTGCCTATAAGACCTCACATTGGTTGATCTAGTTGTATCAGCAGCATTAGACAAGCTTATAGTCTTTAGAGAAGAGTGATGTGGTTGTAAGAAGGCTGGCTTTTGACAATAACTGCAGGCACAGAAGCCGATTGAAGCCCCTCATGGTGCTTCTCCCAGTTGGATTATAGATTTATCAGGAAAGAGGTGGTTTGTCCTGAGCACTTCTTTTTGTCCTTGCAGTTTTGAGACCTTGAAATAAACTGATAAGAGATGAGGATGAAAGTTGTTTTTCTCTATTGAAAAACTGAAATGGATTGCTTTGAGGAAAATGGGGATGTTCTTATTGCTAAAACTACTTTTAAACATCATTTATTCTCATTTTCTAAAAATGTTAGAATTTGGGAGCTCTGGTGGCCTAGTGGCAAGAAGCTACACTGCAATCCCAGAGGTGCACAGTTTGAATCCGCCAGATGCTCTGCTGGAGGAGGGACAATCTCCTTCTGTACTAGTCAGTACTAGTCATATCTGATTTGACAGTACACCTTTTTTTTTAAAGTTAGAATTTATATTAAGAAATCTGTAAATTTTAGGAAATGGACTTTGCTATTTTGATTTTCATTATTAAAATAGTGCTTTTTCTGCTATTGGTGTCTGGTTCTTCATTAATTTTCTTTGATGTTTTTATTTCATCTTTATTAAAACTTTTCTGCTTTCTCTTTACAGGCATTTCTGACCTCGGTGAGTAATTACATACATTGTACCTTTTAAGGCTCTGTGTTTTGCTGATGATTCTTATGCTAATTTACCTAAATAATATAAACTAGAATCTTTTTGTCATCTTTGTGTTTCTAGAAGCTAGAAACCTGTAGATGTGTGTTATGTGTGTGTATGTTTTAGGGTTCTCTTTACCATTTATTTTGGAATTTTTCAAATGTTGGGGGTAGGGAATAAATGTGTAACTCTTACAGACCTTTTGCTCAACTTCAGGAGTTGTCAGAATGTGACTAGTTGTTTTATGTCATCTCTCTGCTTCTAGTGCTTGCTCTCCCAGCTTACACTGAAGTGCAGCATATCTTTTTCACTTGTGAATAAAACCTCACTATAACATATCACAGCTGAGACCTACTGACAGTTATTCTGAAGGGTCCTCACACATCTTAGCAGCGTTCAATCATCCATAAAATGGACTTTTACAGTTTGTTCAAATCAGTATCCACAGTCCTGCACATTGAATTTGGTCAGTAAATTTTTTATCCCCCCTCCATCTTTTTTCTCTAACTATAGATTGGGGCTTTGAGTCATTTGTCTAATGGAATTCTCTACATTCTGTATTTTGCTCATAGAGCCATAATTCTTGAAATTGAAGCATAAAATTTAATATCATATATGTGTTTAAGTCTAACACCATAAACTTCAGATTTGAGGACTTAGCTCCAAAAGTAATTCTGATAGATTTAGGTTATTAATTATTCTAAGAAACGGAACATAAGGCCGTATTAGGGATAATCTGAGAAACTTTCCAATTGAGTTAGTGTTTTACTGGAAGAGAGCCTTTAATTAGATGAGCCTGTTGAATGAATAATTATAGTAATATGTGAAAGCAAATCTAGACATATTTCTTAGGTAAGCTCTGTCGTTGGGGACAAAATACTACTTTGAAGGTTTTGTGGAGGAACTGGTTAAATCCAAATGATTTTGCTTGAGATTGAAAACTCGATTGTTGAACATTGGTAGTGAGTTTTCTGATTGAACAGTATAATCTCAGTCTCTTTTCCTATGTGAGCTGTTCTTGACCTTTCTTTATAGCTTTTCAAATAAAATTACAAATGGGTAACGCCATTTACCTTGATTCCTGCTTTTGCGTGTGGTGTTCTGTTCAGCTGACAGGCTGTCCACTGATGACCTGAACTCCCTGATTGCTCATGCACATCGTCGCATCGACCAGCTGAACAGAGAACTTGCCGAACAGAAAGCCGCTGAGAAGCAGCACATTGCCTCAGCCTTGGAGAAACACAAGCTGGAAGAAAAGCGGGCCTTTGACTCAGCGGTGGCCAAAGCATTGGAACATCACAGAAGTGAAATCGTGGCTGAGCAGGACAGAAAGGTAGCCGAGACGGGAGTCATGGCTAACATTTAAAGTGACCCCTACTTGGTTGTCTGCTTTTACAGGGAACACTGGAGTGGCTGGCTTTAAAAGGCAGGGTGTAAATAATGCTGAACCACATACAGAGTGGAGTTGTGGCCTTTGTTCTCCTACTCAGAACTTTTAGGGAATAAGGATTGAACTAGCCAGGTTGTTTTTTGTTGAGTCAGTGCAGAGGTACAAGTAAGAATAAGCTTCTGGTTTCCAGGCTTCTCTGGACCTTGCATATCTCCCATGGACCCTGCCCCCTAAAACACTTCTGAAAGCAATTCTTTTGGATTCAGAGTAGTCCTCCTGTCCTGGCGCCGTAAGCAGTGGATGCTTGAGGATGGATGAGATGGCTCCACTCACACTCTGATCTGGATACTTGGTGTCATAAATAGTGTTGGTGGGCACTGTGTCCTCTCAGCAGCTCAGCTAACAAATTCAGCCTCCCTGGAGCTTTGTCTCCTCTTGGCTGCCAGAATACTCCCTCATTCTGGCCTCCTCCCACCTTGCTGGCCGCTCGTTGGCCACCGCCTCTGCCTATCCTCTCCAGTGTTGGTGTGTCCTGGCATTGGTTTGAAACCTTTTCCCAACCAGATTGCCTCCCGGTGATTTTATCTATTCCTGTGGCTTTGAAGATGAAATACTGCTTACAGCGTTCATAGCCCTAGCTCCAACCTGTCTTAACTTCAGATTCCTATCTAGCATCCTGGGTGGTATCTGCAACCGGATTTTTAGAGTCATTTTAAATTTGCTATGTATAAACAGAGTTCTTGTTTCTTTTCATCTGCCTCCCTGCCCTCATCTGGCTTCTCTCTATAACCAGCTTGTTCTTCCATCACTCAAGTCCACTCCAACATCCGCTGCTGAGGGGCACCCATAGTCAGTTCCTGATCTGTGTACGTGTCCCCATTCCCACCACCTGTGCTGAAGCTGTTGCTCTGGAGGTTTCCCTGCTTTTACATTCATCTTTCTACAACTCTGACCAGCTTTTCACCTCTCAGCAGGCTTCCCTGTTTCCATGCTCATCTTTCTCTGTCCTTACACAGCCCTTCAGCCACTCAAACGCAACTCCCAGATGCCAAGTCGGAACTGACTCATAGCTGACACTCCAGTGGATTGGGGAGGAGACTGCCCATCCTTCTTCTGAGCTGGTGGTTCAGAACCACATGGCATTGGGTTGGAAGCACAACTGCCTATCTACAGGCCAACCAGAACAGAGTCAGTCAGTCCTTATAAAATGTAATTTTGTCCAGACACTAGGCTGAGTAAAATCCTCCACTGATTACCCATGGCCCTTAATACACAATCCAGATTTGTAGCCAATATACAGACTTGTATCCAGTACAGGAGTGGCCTGGCTCTCCTTTCATGATCTAGACTCACTGGTGTTTCCTGTGCTCCGACCTCATGTCTTGCTGGCTTTTACTCCTGTGTTTATTTGGGGATAAGTTTTGGCTGCTTGCATACGTGGCTTCTCTAAACTTGGTTCTCACCAGGGATGTCAGCATTTTCATAAGGCCTTTCTTTGTCCCCTTGCTCTAAATTACAGCTCCTCTTTAGATTGTCATTGTCACAGGTGTTTTCTAAAAAACAAAGTGTCCTCATTGGGACTGCTTTTTTGTTCCTTTGTCCACTGTCTGCTCCCCACAGTGAAATAGGACTGACTGAGGATATCATCTGTGCCTTGAACACCTTGTATCTAGTCAAATAGCAGGAGGTCTCGTGGTCTAGTGGTAAGGTATTGCACTGCCATCCAAAAGGCATATAGTTCAAATCTACCATTGATCCAAGGGAAAAAGATGGGCAGTTCCTCCCCTGTGATTTACAGCCTCTGAAAACCTGCTGGAGAGCTAGCTGTGCGTGAGTTCCAACTCGATGGCTCTACCACCAGCACCTGGTGCAGGATAGTCAGTTCACAAACACATCCACATTGACTGAACGGATACCCTCGCTCACTCATTTCTGAAATAATTTAAATGCTGGTTTTAGGATAATTAGCATTAAATACTTTCTAATACACAAGACACGATAGTTTAAATAAGCAAGGCATGATGGCCTTTTCCATGTTTTTGGTTTCAGAGCAGTTTATTCTTTGAAGGAAATGATGTTCCATTAAAATGCCAGATACTTAACAGTTTTTCAGAGTAGACATTATTATTCTCATATGAGAAAACAGATTTGAGAAGGTAAATAATAAATCTGCCTGTGTCACCAGGTGGTCATGATGAAGCTTGGTTTGAACTGAGTTCTTTTTTTTCTTTTAATTTTTATTTTATTATTTTGTGTGTGTGCTGTCAAATCAGATCTGACTGATACAGGAGGAGATTTTTCCTCCTTCTCCAGCAGAGCATCTGGTGGATTTGAACCATGTACCTCTGAGATTGCAGTGCAGCTTCTTGCCACTAGGCCACCAGAGCTCGCCTGAACTGAGTTCTTGTAGTTATTTTCCTCATTAGCTGGAATTTGCTACTTCTCTGGGAAATTACCATGTTCGCTTTAAGTGAGCAGCAGCCTGGTGGTGCAGGCAGAGACCCCTGAGTGAAATCTGGTGTGGACACAGCTGTGTGACCGTGCTTCATCACATTTCAGCCTCAGCTTTCTGATTTATGTAAGAAAGGAGGATAGAGTAGGTCTATGTGTCTTCCACTTGGAAGCTGTTGAAAGCATCCCTCTCATAGCTTCGTCTTGTCCTTGGAGTTTGTTTGGGGAAGTGAAAGCCGTTCTGCCATGCTTGGTTTCACAGGTGGAGGAAGTCCGAGATGCCATGGAAATTGAAATGCGGACCCAGCTCCGCCGACAGGCCGCTGCCCACACCGACCACTTAAGAGATGTCCTCCGGGTGCAGGAACAGGAGCTGAAGTACGAATTTGAGAGGGTGAGAGCCTGCTGCAAAGCCTCGATGCCCCTTTCCTTACTAATGCACTCTCTTTTTCCTTCTGATGAGCTCTGTGGTCAGCATCTCAGGATATGGGAGACGTGGAAGACTTCTCCTGTTACATAGCCTTGGTGGAGGGGGCTTCGGTAGAGATGTGCATGTGTGTAGCTGGTCATATATGTTGTGACCCAGGTCAGCTGGGGCCCTCAGAACTTCAGTGGATTCTCAGTAACAGGGTTCCAGGAATGTAGACAACAGCATGGGTCACTGACACACCATCCCACTGGGCTCCAGCAAATCCTGTTGTTCATGTGGTGGTGCTCGGAGTTCCCAGAGGAGGAGCCTCTCCGGAGAAGCCCCATTTGGAAATGAGAGCAGTCTGTCAGGATCCCTTTAGTTACAATTCATTTCTACCCGGATTTTTCAAGTAAGGGACTCCTCCAGAAAATGGAAATTGGTCTTGATGGAAGAAGTGTGTTATCTGAATTTCTTTCATAGAAAACCAGAGTATAATGCAGTGGGTTACAGTTCATTATTCTCATTGTGAGTTGAGTGAGAGGTTACAGAGCAGATTCCTTTTCGCTCATCCACTTATACACATTTCCCATTTACTTTGTGAAGTTGTTGCTTTCTCTTTTCTCCTTGATCTCATACCTCTAATGTTAGGTTCAGTCAATAACTGTGGAGATTTGTATGTGAGACACAAGTCAGTAAGTTTTGGGGAATTTCATGGTAATGACTTTACTGTTTCAAAGGCACTTTTTGCTGGTGGAGGTTTTGCAGTTGGTAGAGAACAAGCTTCCAGATCAATGCCGGGTCCAGCCTAACATCACTCTTTTGTATGAACTCTTTGTGTTTATTTCAGGATATGTCTGAGAAACTCAATGAGCAAGAGTTAGAGTTTCGTCGGCTTAGTCAAGAGCAAGTTGACAACTTCACTCTGGATATAAACACGGCCTACGCCAGGCTGAGAGGGATCGAGCAGGCTGTACAGAGTGAGCAGCTGGCTCTTACCCATCGTCCTCCGCGTGACTCTTAAGGGACCGCTTGTGAGGGGTGGTGTCAGGGTCTGAAGAGCTGACATCTCTGTACTCTTAGGCATTGTTTGAAATACTGGACCCAGCTGGGATACATTTGGATCAGGGAGTAACAGGACAGTTTTTAAAAGGTCCAAAGTTAAAGCTAAATAACTCAGTTTTACTTATGAACAACAAAATTAATTGTTGTTCATGAGACCGTTGACCCAGCACAGTTTGGCCGCTTATGTGCCTCGTGCCACTGGGTGAAGGGGACACTCACTTAGTGTACCCTCAGGGTTCCACTCCCCAGGCTCCTGGGTCTGCAGATCCGTGGAGAAACGTCTAGAATTATGGTTTGCTGAATCTCCTCACCTGTGTCCAGGCCTCATGTGCCAGGATGGAAAGAAAAAGCCTTGAGATAGATACTGTCATTTGATTAGTTTCTTTGAGATGGTATAGAGTTTCTTTTCTCAGAAAACTAGAAAAATAAGGTCAGTATTCCTGGGATTTCAGGGTCCCACAGTCTTCCATTCCTTTGCAGGGAGTTTGTTGACCTTCATGTAAGTCGTAGCTTAATTTAACAAGGTGTTTCTTTCTCATCTACTAAATGTAGAAAAATACATGACTTAGAGTTCAGTACATACCACACATATGTGGGTGAATAGCACAGGCTATGTGTCCTTTGTTGGGATGAGGACTAGGCTCCCTTGACTGACTATACCTGGTGCCCACATCAATCAGCTTGTCCTTGCCTTAGTGAGAGTAAGCCCTCAGTACCCATGGCCTCTTCCCTCGCTACCCTGTACAAAGAGGCCAGTTCTGAAAGAACACACTAGAGAGAAATGGGGTGGGGTTGTAAGATTGTCCCCTCTCCTCTTCCACCTGTGTGGCGTTAGCTTGCCCATTATGCATAGGAACTCTAGGTGCATCATTGTCAGGCGAAGAGAGAAATGTGTTTCTTTGCTATTCTAGTTGGTTTTTTTCTTTGTAGGTCATGCTGTTGCTGAGGAGGAGGCAAGGAAAGCCCACCAGCTCTGGCTGTCAGTGGAGGCACTCAAGTACAGCATGAAGACGGCATCTGCTGAGCTGCCCACTGTGCCCCTGGGCAGTGCGGTCGAGGCCATCAGGGTCAACTGTTCCGATAATGAGTTTGCTCAGGCTTTAACCGCAGCTATCCCTCCTGAGTCCCTAACCCGCGGGGTATACAGCGAACAGACCCTTCGAGCCCGCTTCTATGCTGTCCAGAAGTTGGCCCGCAGGGTGGCAATGATCGACGAGACCAGAAATAGCTTGTACCAGTATTTGCTCTCCTACCTGCAGTCCCTGCTTCTGTTCCCACCTAAGCAGCTGAAGCCACCGCCAGAGCTGAGCCCTGAGGATTTCAACACATTTAAGTTACTGTCTTACGCTTCCTATTGCATTGAGCATGGAGATCTGGAGTTGGCAGCCAGGTTTGTCAACCAGCTGAAAGGGGAGTCCAGACGAGTGGCACAGGACTGGCTCCACGAAGCCCGGATGACCCTAGAAACTAAGCAGATAGTGGACATCCTGACAGCGTACGCCAGCGCTGTAGGACTAGGAACCACCCGTGTGCAACATGAGTAAGGCCTAGCGCTAGTTGTGGTCCAGTGATACTTCTATCAGAGGAAGCAGCAGTGCGTTTGCAGCCAGGGTCCCACCATCACTAGAAGTGTGCGGGTTACAGATACTGTTCCAAATGTTAACACCTGTTGCAGTGATACAGTTCTACTTGCTATCATGTCAGCCAACTCCACGAATACTTTCTTTGCAACTTGTGTAACATTTTCTGTTATTCAGGTTTTACTGATGTGGGCTTGAGAGCCAATCAAAATAATGTTTGTGATCCCCACCACTATTGATTTTTGCCCTTGGAGCAAACTGAATAAAGCAACAAGATGAAAACCAAGTACCTTATCCCTTTTCAGAAAGCATCATATCTAGTTTGTTGTGCATGCAGAAAATTTCCTCAGAACGCAACCCCAGTACAAGGTCCTGGCCCGTGAAATTCATGGGTGAGAAACACATCACTAGGAATACACAGCCTGGTTCTCGACTTCAAAGGGCTGATGAACTCATTCCTATTAGCCAAACCCTGTGCAGCCTAGTGGGGTTCTGCTTGACGTGGTGGGCTGCTAACAGAGAAGTCAGCAGTTCAATCCTGTCAACTGTTCTGAGGGAGGAAGATGGGCAGTCTCACTGCAGAACTGGTTTGGGGGACTCAGACTCCAGTCCAGATGTGGGGTTTGATTTGATCTTAGTGTTGCTTGAGGAGCTGGAGTACAGACCAAACAAACTCCTGTCTGTTTACAGTTGGAGACGGCTTTCTAGTGACTGAGACTCTTCTAGTAGTTAAGTGTCCAGAGATCGCTGTTGTTAGGTGCCATCAAGTCTAGTACAGCTCAGCGATCCTATGGACAAAAGACCTGAACCTAGTCCTGTCCTGCGCCAGCCTCACACTTCCTGACACGTTATCCATAGGAAAAAAGGCGTTTTACCCTGGGACAGCACACACATGTACATACATGAAACTGTCTGCAGCCAGTGCTTGCCTTTCCTACTGATGATGCTGTTTCTATTTTCATCTTTACAATAAATATGTCTTCTACTAACGAGAATTAAACAGTCCACAAATGTGTTACAGCTTACAGGTGTTTTATAAAATTTGAGCTAAGGTATACAAATCATACTGACACAACAGTGGTAAGATGCTGCACAACAATCCCATTGTAAGTGGTTTGAATCCACCAGCTGCTTCATGGGAAAAGGAAGGGCAGTGTCCTCTTGTGCGATTTACTGCCTCTGAAAATCCACTGGAGGGTCAGTTACGGGTTGGCTCCGACTTGACAGCACATAATATCCTTGATAAGCTTAATTTCTCATCAGCTGCTTAATGTGGATTGCATTTTTCGTTACTCCACAATTTTTCCACCTCTTTCTTCCTTCCCATGCCTGTTAACCCTCCAAAATAGACTCTAAACTTCTTACATTTTATAATTAGAACCTCTTACACCATGATGGTCCTGTTTTTCCATTGATAAATTCTATCAAATAAATATCCTGCATAGACTTTCAGAACAGATAAAAAGAAGAAACACTTGTAACTTCTTTTGGGAAATGAATGGCTGCTCTCTGTACTGTTGCTGGGTACAGTTTGCTCTGTGATCCCGTGCACAATGGGGCACACTCTTGTGCAGCCCTGCATCATCCCCAAGGGGTAGGCCAGACCACTGGGATCCATGGGTTTTCTGCATCATTTTCAGAAGCAGATCTCTAGTTCGGCCTTCTGGTGCTGACAGTTGTGCTGAGGTCTGTTGAGCGTCACAGCAGCATGCAGGTTTGATAAAGTGGCAGAGGTGTGTATGTGGTTCATGGGCCACACATCAATGCAGGGTCCCTCACTTGCTGAAAACAAAACCTGAGACATTCACTAATGACATTCAAAGACTGGCCTTCCCTACTTAACCATACTTAATAAAACAAAAACCCTCACAACCAGACTGGTAAGTATCACCAAGATAAAATGAGAGAAGGTTGACGTCAAGGTTGCCATTCCACCCAGATCCATAACAGATGTCCATTTTGTCAAGCCCAGCACCATGCCAAAGACATCTGCTTCAAAGGGCAAGTATGTGAAAGCTGGACAATGAATGAGGAGACCCATCGTGGCCACAAAAACACGTGGAGCCACCAGTAAAACAGTCTGTCTCTTAAAAAATTAATCCCATGCTTCTCAGAAGTGAGGTTTGCCACCTTGTTTCTGGTTGTGTGTTTAGCACATTATGTGCTTTTGAATCGACCATGACTCATAGCAACCCTATGCACAAAACCTGAATCCTGCCCTGTCCTGAGCCAGTCTCACTGTCTCACACACCTGCCTTCATTTCCCCAATTACTGTATCAATCCATCACATTCAGGGTCTTCCTCTCCTGTTCCTCCCCCCTTCCAAGCGTGATGTCCTTTTCCAAGGACTGGTCTCTCCTGGCCACATGCCCAAAGTATGTGAGACGGAGTCTCAAAATCCCTTGCCTTCAGGGAGCAGCTTGGCTTCACGCTCTCCACGTTAGACCTGTTTGTTCGCTTGGCAGTCCATGGTATATTCAAGACTCTTCTTTAGCACCACAACTCAAAGCCATCAATTCTGTAATCTTTGGTCAGTATCCAGTTTTCTGATGCATAAAAAGTACTTGGAAAAACCATCGCCTGGATCAGGTGCACCTTAATCTCTATACAAACATCTTTGCTCTTCAACACTCTGGAGTGATCTCTGAGAGCAGATTTTCCTAGTGCAATTCATTTTTTTATTTCCTGGCTGTTGGTTCCAAGAGTGCTATTTGTGGGAACAAGCAAGCTGAAATTGTTAACAATCAAAATGAAGTGTTTAACCTAAATTAAAAAAAAAAGAAAAAAGAGTAGGATGGAAAAAAAAAATGAAGTGTTTAGCATACTTGTGCATTTGTATTCTGGTCAGTTCCTCGTTGATGCCATCGAATATGTGGATTTTGACAGATTGCCTGTCAACTCTTGTGCACAGAGCTCCCTTTAAGATTTGTGGTCTAGTTTTCACAAATTTCCTTGTTGTTAATGTGCTACCAAGTCACCTGCAGCTCAGAGTGACCCGATGTGAAACAGCTCTGAACCCTGCTCTACCCTGAGCCAACCTTATTGTCTCTTACACACTTACCCTTTGCCCCAGTCACTGAGTCAGACGGTCTTCTTCTCTAGCGTTGTCCCTCCACCCTTCCAAGCATGACATCCCTCTCCAAGGCCTGGTCCCTCCTTGCAACATGCCCAAAGTATGTCACACAAAGCCTCAGAATCCTTGCCTCCAAGGAGCAGCCTGCTCTCTCACCCTCTTAGGATGAACCTGTTTGTTTTCCTAGCAGTCCACAGTATATTTAGCTCTTCTCCACCACAACTCAAAGGCATCAATTCTCTTTGTCATCTCTAGTCATTGTCCAGCTTTCTGACACATAGCACATAATTGTAAAGACCATGGCCTGGATCAGGTACACCGTAGTCTCCAGACTGACATTGTTGCACTTCATCACTCTGGAGAGGTCCCTGAGAGCTGACTTTCCCGATGCAATTTGTCTTCTGATTTCCTGGCTGCTGGTGCCAAGAGTGTTGATTGTGGAGCCAAGTAAACTGCTGGTAGACTGAAAAGCAAACCATGCTACTGTGTCCTGCAGGGCCACTCTGAGGCACAATTGATGCCCAAAGTGTGGTTTTTGTGTGTTCAGAGTGACTGATGAGGCATTTTTATCTCAGCACACACACATATCATGAAAAAGTAGAGGCTTTTCATTTACTTTCTGTAGTTGTTCAACTGAGTTTGGATTTGGTTTCGTGTTTCCACAAACCACTTTGAGCTTGCTCTTTATTTTAGACCCTGGGTCCTTCTATGATCTGGGCTGGCAGTGTGTTCTCAGCAGGCCCTGATCCCAGAGACTCTCAGGGTCTGACTACATGCTGCTTCTTTGCACTCAGGATCTCAGGTCGCCCAGGGTCTCACAGGATGCTGATACTTCACACTCAGGATCTCAGGTGGCCCAGGGTCTGACAGGATGCTGCCTCAGTGAGCTCAGGTGGGGTACTCTTGGCAGGTGGGGCTCGTTTTCCCCCAAAGATGAGAAACTTTTCTAAATTCAGCCTCTCATCCTTTGGAATAGCAGGACATTGCAGAATAAATTGATTTGCAAAGCTGATGAATTTATGTGTAATATTAAAAGTACTTATTACAATGACGTATTTCTTACAGAACCTGGGAGTGACTCCTCCAGAAGTGACTATCTAAACATGCGGGATACAAACAGTACTGAGTAGTTGGTCTAGATAAAAACATGCAAATAGTGATTATCACTTGTTTTCGTTTCTCAAGTAAACGTATTGCATAAAAGACAGCACTGCTGTAAGGGGAGGCTCCATGTCCAGGCCCGGATTTCCCCATCCCAATCTCCTGGGATGCCTGCAGCTGACAAGGAGGCTGGGAGCTACTTGGGTGAGAATTTAGAAATCTCCACTTTGCTCGAGGAGGAGGAACTCAAGGGTGTAGAAGTAGATACTGCTCACTGTGGGCAGTTAGGGCCAGTCAGCTTCACTCAGAGTAGTGAGTCCAACTCTCAGCAACTCTGCAGGACAGCGCCCACCTCTGCGTCCACGCCAGGATACTGTCCTTCAAAGTCCAAGTTATATAATTGCCACCACATAAGATTAAACAGTGACCTATGCTGATTGCTATAGTTTCTCAATCTTTTTCACCTCCTGTGTACATTTCTTTAAATTGATTTTAATAGAAGTTTACAGAAAAGCAGGGGTTTTGTTCATTCATTGTTAAAAATTTTCTTCCTTCCCCCTGCCCCAGTCCACTTTGCATCTTTTTGTACCAGATTGCTGTCATACATATACCTAGTCATATATTCCTTTCAGACACTTCTTCCCCTCATCTGTTTTAATGCAGTGTTCAACTATCAATCTACTCTTTTCCTATTCTGCACTTCTTCCTCATTTTAGTCTTATTTTATGACAGTGGTGTTGGCAGCATTTGTCCTTTTGTGACTGAGATATTTCACTCAGCGTATCTTCC